GTGGTCGACTACATGGGAGTCCAGTGACATAGCCATTACGCTAACTGCTGGTTCTCTGGTGGTCCCAATTTAAAACAAACAAATAAACAAAAAAAAAACAAAAAAAACGTTTCAGAAGAAAATTACAGTGTACTAGTCACTAAAAAATAAATAAAAAAGAAAAGAAAAAGAAAAGTCATGCTGGTGCATGTGCATGCATGCATGCCCAAAATCCCAGGAGGAGAATGGAGAAGGGATTGCAGTGTGATCATCCCTCCTGGGGGTTGATTTTTCACATTTCTTCCATCTGGTCTCTCTGGGAGCACATGTGCCCTATGGCAAAAACCTTAAATAAAATCACTCTGAAAGGGTCAAGTGGCATAGTGGTTAAGGCACTAGATTCCCAAATGGCTGACCATGGACCTGGCTGCTTGCTCTCTCATTTTCCCTTTCTTTGTCTCTCTCTCTCTCTGGTTAAATTTAAAACAAACACTAAAACCATTTTTAAAAATAAAATCAGGGACCAGCAGGTGGCGTGGTGGTTAAAGTGCTGGACACTCCCACATGGCCGACCAGGGTTTGAGTCCTGAATCTGGTGTCTTGCTTTCTCACTTCCTTTCTCTCTCACTCTCACCCTCTGTCTCTCTCTGGTCAAATTAAGAAATAAATGAATGAATACATAAATAAATAAAATAAATAATTATTTAAAAAATAATAAATAAAATAAAACCAAGTGTATGTGTGTGCATACGCAAAATCCTGAGAGGGCACTGGAGAAGGGATTGTGGCATGGTCATCTCTTCTTTGGTGGTGATTTCTCACTTTTCCTGTGTCTTTTTTTTTTTTTTTTCTTTTTAATTATTTCATTTTATTTATTATTTTTAATTTGACCAGAGAGAGAGAGAGAGAGGGAAAGTGAAAAGGCAAGTCTCCAGGACCAGGACATGAACTGTGGTTGGCCATATGGGAGTCCAGCCCCTTAACCACCATGGTCTCCTGTGTCTTTTTCAAGGGAGGGATGGAATCAGGCACACACCCAAGATCCTGAGATGAAAATGGAGAAGGCCTTTCTATTCCCCCTGGAGGCGTGATTTCTCACTTTCCCTTGCTCTATGCCTCTCTGTCTAGCACATGCACCCTCTGGCAAAAAAAAAAAAAAAAAAAAAAAAAAGCTGCTGCAGTTCTAGGCATCGCAGCAACTTCGTACTAATGACCCAAAGATAGGGCCATAAAAGCTTTCCTCATTTGTGGCTCCAGTCCCTGACTTCCTCTTACATCTTGTTAACCAGAGCTGGGTCAGAGTCATCCAGATTTGCTGCAGAGGCTGGGAAAGCAAGCAGACAGCAAAGAAGATTGTGAGTAATCCCTTGGGGCTGGCACACTGCCACCATGATTGCTCCAGGACTGTGTATTTGGGCAAGAGGAAAAATGGCTGTTGGAGACAACGGTGTTACCACACCAGGACAACTACAGCACAGCGTTTGGTCCAATAAATGCAGGCATATCTGGAAAAGATAGCTATCATGTATGTGTTAGTGTAAAAGTCAGCTGTTTTAAGAAACAAGTATATTTAATTCCTGGGAAGAATGACTTCAGTCTCATCTTCGTGTGTAAGTGCACCGAGTATGGAATTGTGTCTTACCTTGTATTTAACGTGTAAGTCAGTACTTCCTTATGTATTCTGAATTTGGAAGGATTAGGAAAGAGTCAGGACCTGTCTGGGTTAGGAGATTTTGTGCCATGTACTCATCTTCTGGAAATGAAATTACTTGTACTTTAAGTGATGAACTGGGCCAAGAGTGATTCTTAAAATCACATTGCACACAATCCCTGGTTGTGTTATCTAGAGCAGCAGGCCTTGGGCCATATGCCCAGTATCTAATAACTAGAAAAGAGACTAAAAATTTAAGTTCCTCTAGCCTATGTTTTTGTTTCTTTAGATTTCTAAAGGGCATGCACACTGGTGAGAAAGAGAAAAGCAGCCCCCCTCCCCCCGCATGAGTTGTGGTCATCGCACTCTCCTTTCCCCCATTTCTCCAGGATTCGGGGCATGCATGCACACGTCCCATTTTTGTTTTGTTTTTAGTTTTTGCTATAGGGTGAGTGTACTCACCAGAGAGAAATGAGAAATCAACCCCCACAGGAAGATGGCCACACCACAATCCCTTCTCCACTGTCTTGGAATTTTGGACATGCCCTCAAAGTGGTTTCTTTCTTTTTCTTTTCTTTTTTCTTTTTTTTTCTTTTTTTTTTGCTATAGGGTGCATGTGCTCACCAGAAAGAGAGAGACAGACAGAAAGCGAGAAATCACCCCCCGGGGGGATGGTCACACCGCAATCCCTTCTCCTCCGTTCTCCTCTCGGATCTTGGGCATGCACGCACATGCGCCTGGCATGAGTTTTAAGCCACCAGGTCCAGGACCCAAACCACAGTTGACTACATGGGAGTCCAGCAACATAGCCATTATGCCAACTGCTGGTCCCAACCTTATTTAATTTGACCAGAGAGGTACAGAGTGAGAGAGAGAGAAAGCGAGAAAGCCAGCCACCAGGTTCAAGACTCGAACCATGGTCAGCCATGCTGAAATCCAGTGCCCTTCATCATGCCACCTGCTGGCCCCTCAATTTTTATTTACTTATTTTATTTCTAAAAAAATAATTTTATTTATTCATTCATTTATTTTTTAATTTGGCCAGAGAGAGAAAGAGGGTGAGAGTGAGAGAGAGAGGAAGTGAGAAAGCAAGCCACCAGATTTAGGACTCAACCCCTGATTGGCCATGTCAGAGTGTCCAGCACCTTAACCACTACGCCACCTGCTGGTCCCCTCAATTTTTATTTTTAAATTTGTCTGACCATGGTTCAAGTCCTGGACCTGCTGACTTGGTTTGCTTTCTCACTCCACCCCATGGTTTGTTTTTTTTTGTTTGTTTTTGTTTTTGCTATAGGGTGCGTGCGCTAGCCAAAGAGAGACAGAAAGACAGAGAGCAAGAAATCACATCCCCTGGGGGTTGGCCATGTCACAATCCCTTCTCTCGGGATCTTGGGCATGCATGCACACATGCCCGGCGTGAATTTTAAGCCACCGGGTCTGGGATGCAAACTGCAGTCAACTACATGGGAGTCCAGCGACATAGCCATTATGCTAACTGCTGGTCCCACTCCACCCCCTCCTTCTCTGTCACTTTCTGGTCAAATTAAAATAAGTTAATTAAATATTTTTTTTTGAGAGGTTTTTGCAATAGGGCACGTGCACCCACCAGACAGACAGAGACAGACAGAAAGCGAGAAATCACCCCCCAGGGGGGATGGCCACGCCGCAATCCATTCCAGGGGGGATGGCCACGCCGCAATCCCTTCTCCTCCATCCTCCTCTTGGGATCTTGGGTACGCACGCAGACGCGCCTGGCGTGAGTTTAAGCCACTGGGTCCGGGGCTCGAACTGCAGTTGACTACATGGGAGTCCAGTGAGATAGCCATTATGCCAACTACTGGTCCCACTAAATAATTATTTTTAAAAAAAAATCTCTAAAAAAAGAAACCAAGCTGCCAGGTCAAGGATGGGACTTGAACCAGTTGGCCATGTGGGAGTCTAGTGCTCCAACTACCACACCACCTGCTGGCCCCACCTGGTATGTATTTTAAGCTTCTGGGGGCAGGATTTGAATTGTGGTCAGCCTGTAGGAGCCAGCTTCCAATGCACATGGCATAACCCTTATGCTGTGTGGTCTTCCTTGGCCAGTGTTTTTGACTTTTCCGTATACATGGAGCATGTATATGGGGAGGGTGGGGGCTGGGGAGAAACAGAGACCTGGTGCTCATGGTCAAGGCTGGGGAACCTCCCAAACTAATGGGAAGGGAGGGGAGAGGGCAGAGAGACCAAGGATTACAAAGGGATCACTGAAAACATGGCTTGGAGTTTTTGCGAATAAAGGTTTATGTTCTTCCATAATTTCATAACTGCCCTGAGGCAGTTATGAAATTCCCAAGTCCCTATCCAAGTGACCCTATTAGACGAAGCACTTCTGTAGTTTGCATTCTAGGAAGGACCCTGAAAGGAGGGTTCAAGGTGAGCAGGTCTGAATGGGTATAAAATATTTTAAGTACGTGTCCCCTCGAGTCCCATTGGTATAGAGCTTCCAGATTTACCAGGTTTAGGGATCCTTCCCCTAGTAAGCCAGTGGTGGCCAGCAGACAAGTTGCATGGGGGATGACACACAGTAACTGGAAATGAGTCTCACCCAAAACAGCAGCAGCTGCACGCAGGTCCCTGACCGTCCTCAGTGGAAGCCGCCTTCTTACTGGCTGCAATGTCAGTGGGTTTTGACCATTAATTAAACTAACACGACCCGTGAATGAATAAAGACTTCTGACAATAAATACCTGATGGGTAGGTTGGATCTTTATCCTTAAGGAAAAGAGCCACAGCTGGTTTGAGTATCACGTTTAATATAAGATACAGTGGGCAAAACAGAGTCTCAGACTCAGTTACAGTCAGTGAGTTAACAGCCTAGGCACTTGGACAAAAATTTGGCCCTGCTGTCCCGAGTCCTCACGGCCCTCTGCACATCACCAACTGGTGGCACCCTGACTGACATCCTGCTGATTGGAGGCCCCAGTTCCCAGCTCAAATCAAGAGACTGGCCCCAGCCATTACAGCAGGTGTCATTTTTCAAGACGGGCTTGAGGAAAGTGGGCCCAGAACTGGACATGGGGGCCCAGGCTGCCCTGCGTCTGCACATGCAGCAGTCCAGAGCTTGAGCTAGCTCACAGCTCGAGGCTAGCCTACCCACCTTCCCACCCACGTGTTTATCCTTCCTGGCTGCCCATGCTAGCCACAATGGTGACCATTCAGCTAAAGACAGATCTTTCCAGAGCTGTATTTGGCATAAGCTAAGCCACTGCAGGTGCTGCCAGTGGCCAGGCACAGGTACAGAGGCCCTGAGGAGTTGGGAGGAGGGGAGAGCAATGTGCAGGCAGAGCAGGAAATAGTCAGCTTGGGTCCCTGCCCCAGGAGCCCATAAGGATAAAGGCCGTGCAGTGAAGGGTAACATACGGGTCTTCTCTTTGGTCAGGCAAGGGCCCAAGTATGGGCCTGGGAGGTGAAAGGGTGAAGGGCACAGGCTCTGCCCTTGGACCCTGGCTATAGGCTCATCCCATCGAGGCGGTGATGCAGCAAGGGGCAAGGCAAGACAGAGCAGACTCAAGCAGTCCTCATTGGCTCTAGGAGCTGCCCTTGTCCTTGTCATCCATCAGGTCATACCTGTGAAACAAGAGAGGGCTCAGGTAGAAGGATGGCTCTCATGTTCTTTTACAAATAAGATATAGGAGTCGGCAGGTGGTGTGGTGGTTGAAGGTGCTGAAATCCCACATGGCCAAACATGGTTCGAGTCCCACACCTGGTGGCTTGCTTTCTTACCGCCCCCCCCCTGTTCTGTCCCTCTCTAGTCCAATTAAAATAAATAAAGCTACATAAAATAATTTTTTTTGAGAGCTTTTTTTCTTTTTCTTTTTTTTGGAGAGGTTTTTGCTATAGAGTACGTGTGCTTGCCAGAGAGAGAGAGACATAGAGACAGAAAGCGAGAAATCACCCCCCAGGGGGGATGGTCATGCCGCAATCCCTTCTCCTCCTTTCTCCTCTCGGGATCTTGGGCACACATGCACACGCGCCCAGCGTGAATTTAAGCCACCAGGTTCAGGACTCGAATCGCGGTTGACTACATGGGAGTCCAGCGACATAGCCATTATACCAACTGCTGGCCCCAAAATTACATAAAATAATTATTAAAAAAAAAGAAAAAAGAAATGATATAAAATTCCAGGGCTCCTAAACTTCACAGAATCAATGGTTGTCAGCTTGGGCTCCTCCCTTCCTATGATTGGGACTTCTCCTTAAATGTCCAGGCCCATCCCCACCTACACAGACACTTACCATCGGGCTGCGCCCTGGGAAAGGTCTATCTCAGCTAGGTCCAACTGCACCTGTGTTGCAAGACAATGGAGGCAAGAGATTATTTTGATATCTCCAAAGACCATGTCCCATCATCACACACTCTTTGTCACAAACCACTGCAGATGTGATAGGGTTACCTCCAAAGTGTCACTGGGGTGCTTCTCCCCAACAGGGGTTACTACTTCAATACCAACAGCCTCTAACGCTCACCTCTGCCCTACCCATCCCTGCCCTTTTACCTTCCCCAGCAGCTCACGCTCTCTTGACATGAAGGAGGAATTTGACTTCACAGAGACATCCAGCTTTCGCTTCAGGGCTTCATCCAGGGGCAGTTCCCACTCAAACCTGGGGAGCAACTGGTGTTAGGAGTCAGGGGTCCTCTCCAAGCCTGTCACCTCCCCACCTGAACACCCACTGGCTAACCGCTCATTGAATTCAGGATTGAGGGTCCTCTTCTTCTGTGAGGTCTTTCTCTTGGTGCCTCGGTTCTTGTCTGGCAGTAGCAACAGTGATACGTAGGGGTCAGGGGGGTCCCGCCCATTTTGCCGAAGGGCCCTGCAACACGAGGATGCAGGTGGTAAGGTAGACCCAGGGAAGGAATGGAAGGAGCCTGAGGATAGGAGGCTGGGGTCTTACCGGCAACTGTGAACAATGCTGACCAGCTTGCGTTCCTCGCTGTAGTACCACACGGTCAGCTTCACCTGGCCCAGAGGTCCGGCTGGAGCCTCTGAGGGACTATGGAGAAATGGCGCTAGCTCTGGGAGACGGTAGAGCCTGGGGACCCTGTAACCCATACTTCAGAGTCGCGCTGCATCCCACCTCTGTCCCCGCCCTTTACCTGTCACTGTGTGTTAGGCGCTGGCGGAGCTCGGGGGCAGAGGCGGTGATATGAGGGAGGCCCCCCCAGAGCTCGACTTCTTCACTCAGAGAGGAGGAGCTGGGGCTATAGCTGTGGCTGTGAGCTTCCACTCCTGAATGCTGGGACACCAGGATCTAGGGGCAAGCAAGTATGAGCTGGGCAGTTCTCTCAGCCCTGCCTATGAGGACAGCCCTGTTCCACCCTCCTGGGTGCCCTTCAGCCATGAAGGGCCCCTGCTCAGCCTCAGCCTTGCCCACCACCTCCTGGCACTCACCCCTAGCTGTGCTCTCAGCAGCACCTGCCCCTGACCGTTGTTGAGCGTAAACCAGCGATCCAAGCAGAGGTGGTCGGCTGCGAGGAGCTCTGAGAGGGCCAGGGATAACGAGCCCAGAGCACCAGTGCCCTCACCCCGAACCTGTGGGGCAACAGGACTGTGATCAAGCAGTTCATTTAATCCCAGTGTTCTAGATCCAAACGCTTGCACTCCTCGGCTTTGGTGAGAGAAACCAAAACGTTTTGCTAGTCCCTCCTTCCTTCCTTTCCTAACCAGAGTAGACTAGACTATCTTTACTTCCTTTTTTAAAACTTTTCTTAGAGAGTTTTTTTGCTATAGAGACAGAGAGAGAGAGAAGTCACCCCCCGCGGGAATGGCCATGCAACAATTCCTTCTCCTCCATTCTCCTTTTGGGATCTTGGCACACACGCACACAGGCCCGATATGAGTTTCAAGCCACTGGGCCCAGGGCTTGACCCTCGGTCAGTGACTTGAACCCCAGTAGTTGGTCATGTGCGAGTCCAGCACCTTTAATACTGTGCTACCTCCTGGCCCCTTTACTTCCTAAGTCTTCATGTAAATTATGCCAGTGACACCTGCACAGAATGGAGAGATGAAAAGTAAATGTTTCCTGCCCATCCTCGCCCACTTCCATATTGCAAATGTTACAACCTGTACCCCTCTTGTCTTCTTTGTTCTGCTACGATTTGAACCAACTTTAGTACAATTCTTTTCCTTTTCTTTCTTTTTTTTTTTTTTTTCGTTTGCTATAATGTGCAAGCACTCACCAGAGATAGAAAGGGAAAGTAAGAAAGCAACCCCTATTGTGGCCACACCACAATCCCTTCTCCTCATTTCTCCTTTTGGGACTTTGGGCATGAACACACAGGGACCTGGTATGTGTTTAAAGCTGCCAGGTCTAGAACTTTAACAGTGCAGTTGGTCATGGGAGATCCAACTACCTTTTTTTTTAAAAAAATTTTTTTTATTTATTTATTTATTTTATTTAAATTTGACCAGAGAGGAACAAAGTGAGAGAGGGTGAGAGAGATGGAAAGTAAGAAAATAAGCCACTAGGTCCAGGACTCAAACCGTGGTCGGCCACGTGGGAATCCAGCACCCTTAACCACCACACCACCTGCCAGCCCCAGAGATCCAGTTACCTTAGCCACTGTGCCATGAGCTGGCACGAGAATTCAATTTAAAAAAAATTTTTTTAAAGGTTTTGTCATAAGGCATGTGTGTTCGTGAAAGAGACAGAGAGATACAGACAGAGGGAAAGTGAGAAACCAGCCCCTAGGGGGAATGGCCACACTGTAATCCCCCTTTTTTTTTTTTTGAGAGGTTTTTGCTACAGGGCTCATGTGCTCGTCAGAAAAGACAGAGAGAGACAGAGAAACAGACAGCGAGAAATCACCCCCAGGGAGGATGGCCATGCCACAATGCCCTCTCCTCCATTCTCCTCTCAGGATCTTGGGCACGCATGCACATGTGCCTGGTGTGAGTTTAAGCCACTGGGTCCAGGACTTGAACCACGGTCGACTACATGGGAGTCCAATGACATAGCCATTACGCTAACTGCCGGTCCCACTGTAATCCCTTTTCATCCATTCCGCTCACGATTTTGGGTACACATGCACATGTTCCTGGTGTGACTTTTTTTTTTTTAAGAGAGATATTGCTATAGGACACGTGTGCTCACCAGGGAGACAGAGAAACAAAAAGTGAGAAATTCTCGGGAGAATGGCCATGCTGCAATCCCCTCTCCTCCATTTTCCTCTCAGGATTTTGGGCACACACGTACATGTGCTCAGCATGAGTATCAAGCTGCCAGATCCGGGACTCAAACTGAGGTCACCCATGTGAAAGTCCAGCGACATAATCATTATGCCATCAGCCGGTCCCACCTGGTGCGATTTTCAAGCCTCTAGATTCGGAACTCAAACTGCAGTGAGCCATGTGGGAATCCAGCCGCCTTAACCACCATACCACCTGCTGGCCCTGAACGTATCTTTTTCACCCGGAAGCCCCGTGCTTGATTCAGTGTCTAGCACGGAACTGAAATAGAATGAATTTATGGTACCTGCAACTCCAGGCTCTCAACGTGTGGTTTCCTGATGAGAAAAGAGGCACTCTCATCCCAGATAGGGGCTGAAGCCTGGGAAACAGTCTGGGAGACCAGGGGTTATGATCAGTGGTTGATACTCTCTCCCCTCCTCCTATCCCTCCCATTCTTAATCCTACAGCATTTGCCAATACCTTGGTTTTATGAGAAGTATCTCCCACGGTAAGAGTAGCATAAGGGCTGGGAGGCTTGGTACCTTTTCGGAGCTGGAAGGAGAGTTCTATGTTAGTCTTAAATTTAGATGAATTAGAGATATTCCTGTCCCCTCACAAATACCCACAGCCAGCCCGGCCACGGCTCCATTATCACTTGTCAGTCATTATCCTGTGGCCCCGGAAGGACAATTCTTCCTACCCGAGCACCGCCCTCAGCAAGAAGGGGCTATTTACTACTCCAGATATACCGTAGGAGGTGGGGAAAGGACAGGGAGCCATGGGCATGGGGAGTGGCTCTCACCGGCAGGTCCTCTGCCCGCTCCAGGTAGACCGACAGCAGGGCTGCTGCCAGTTCCGCACTCTTCTGCGTCTGTATCAAACTGTTCACCTGCAGCACCTGGAGGAGGGCGCATGGGGGTCTGAGGGTGGTAACGAACACCCCGGGGCCTGGCACACGCCTCAAAAGCTGAGACAAGAGCCCTCTGACCCACCTCGGGTCCCTTCCTCCTTCCGGTCTCTCTCCTTACCTCCTCCAGCTCAGCAGCCGTGGGACGAGGTGTGAGCCGCTCCAGGCGCAAGTGCAGGCGGCCAGATGGGACGTCCTCCAGGGCCAGCCACTGTGGAAGGAGGTAGGGGAGACTTGGGGATGTGGGGGCAGGGGAAGCATGGAGATGTGGCCTGGGTCAAGGTCAGGAGAAATGTTAACGAATCCATGCTCACCTCATCAAGGAAGCCACTGTTTAGGACTGTGGCAAGACTCACTTTACACCTGGAGAGAAGGTTAAGAGGCAGATGGTCAAAACCCAGTCTCTCTCTCCCCACGGCCAGACTAAGGCCTATAGAGGCCCAGCCTGTCTGCCCCCAGGGCCCTCACCTGCCCAGGAAGTCATCCTTATCCAAGTCCTTGTCAAAGACCTCCACATCTAGCTCTTGGCCTGGAATTGATGTTACAATCACCTAGTAGGAGAAAACAGTGCAGACGAAAGGGGATTCTCTCCTTCTCTCCAAATGACTGAATCCCCCCAATCAGTGGAACCCCAGAGGTTTTTGGACCACTCTTGGAGCTGGGAGAAACATGGGGCAAGGACTACAAGGAGTTCCAGACACTCAATTCTGACCTCAAAAACCTCATTCCAGCGGGGATTGAGATCTTCCCGAACAACACGGCTCCGGAAGGTTCGTCCTGCCAGCTTCAGTTTGACATAAGGGTCTGACTTGCCCTTCACCAATCCCCCCAAGAAACGGTCTTTGGCAATTAGGTCTTGGGCCTCTAACACATGGATCCGAAGCACATTCTGCAAAAGGGACAGATGGGGTACCAGGTGGCAGTCGAAGGGCGAGGACCTGTCAGAGCCAGCCCTGGAACAGGCTGTGTACACTAGGATGAAATAGACCTCCACTCTTCCAGATACAGACTCACCTCGGTCCCAAAGTGACTGTCAGGAGTAGTATGACAGGGTCGTGGTGGGGCATCCACACTGCTGCCTGTCTGGGGACTCTCACTGTCCGGGCCCAGAGCACCTGGAGCACCAGGCCCAGCAGGGAAGCATATTTCTGATGAATCCAAGTACAAGATCTGGGGAGGGTAGCGTGATTGTCAAATAAAAGGGTAGCTAGGTACCAGGAAGCAAGGTGTGTGAGGCTCGGGCGGCAGAGCAGGGAACTCAGGTCCCTGTCTTGGGGGGGCTCATTTCCACACACGCATTCCTCCCCCAGCCAGATCAACAAACATTTTCTGTGTGCCTGCTAGGTGCATATCTATACTAGCTCATTTCATCTTAAGAGGGTATCGGGGGCCGGCGGGTGGCATGGTGGTTAAGGGCGCCGGACTCCCACGTGGCCAACCACGGTTCGAGTCCAGGACCTGGTGACTTGCTTTCTCACTTTCCTTCTCTCTGTGTGTCTTTCTCTGGTCAAATTAAAATAAATGAATGAATGAATAAATAAAATTAAATAATTTCAAGAGGGTGGGCTGGCTCTGTGCTGAAGCAGTAATATGCTGCTCAGCAGAAGCCGGGTCCCATGTGGTAACTGGTTTGACTCCTTGGCCTGGTCAGCTTGAAACACTGAGCACAGGCACAAGTGCCCAAGATCTGACGGGTTAGAGAACTGGAGCCATGGGATCACGGCGGGATGAGACTCTTCAGGGAGTGCTCGTTTCTCTCTCTCTCCCCCACACAGTCATATGAATGCACGTGTGCTCCATTATGAAAAGAAAAAAACTTCAGAAAAAAATCTCAAGGGCTCCCCTCTCTTCCCTTGCTTTTTTATTTTTTTATTTTAAAGTATCTTTCATTCTATTTTCCATGGGCAAGAGGAAGAAGACCCCAACAGGGGCTTCTCTACCTCCAGTCTCAGTGGCCACAGGCAGGCATACATATGGCGTGCTCAGGGAGCTCCTGGGACACAAGCCCAGGACCTTTCCCATATGGGTTGCATTACTGCTGTGCCACCACCTGGCTTCATCCCTTCCTTACTGTCAGTACCAAGGAATCCCAGGCCTCTCCCCCACTCTTCAGCACTTCCTCCATTTCCATACCCTCATCACCAGTTTCATGTAGAGCCTAGAGTTTAGGCCAGAGCTGCTGAGCTGGAACCACTGGTCCAGGGTGAGGTCAGGGGCAGTCAGCAGGCGAGCCAGAGGCAGGGTCAATGTCCCCAAAGTCAGGGCCCTGGAGTCATCCTTCACCTGTGGGCACAGGAGTGGGGAAGGTTGTAAAGGGGTTAGGGAAAGGGAAGCACCCTGGGAGGATTATAACATGGCTCCAGCCTCACTCCTCTCCAGACAAATCACAACCTTTTGCTACATAAAGGGCCAATTCTTTTTTTTTTTTTTTTTT